TAACACATTATCATTCCCATTTCGGGCAAAGTCTGACTCAAGCGCAAATGAATTATAATTATTCCAGTAGTTCATTGCATCAGAAAGTAGTCTCCATTTTCAGGCCTTGTGCTGTGCCAAAACAAGTGGACCGTATGAAAGTAACAAAATACCAAATTTGAAGCCATTAATCTTAGTGCCTTCAATGAGGCGTGGTAACTGTCTCACCAAGAGAAGTGGTACATATTAGGAGCCTGCATTCAGTTCAACGAAACAGCCTTTGACCATTGTTTTACAATGAAATCGCTAAAAACACAAGACCACCCAAACATTAAAAGTTAACAATATCAGCGAGAATTCAAATAAAAGAGTCTAACGGAACCAAGTTGACTAGCTTTCGCTTACGCGACGTATGAGGAATCGGAGGAGATGTAGTTAGCAATAATATCATTAAACTTGGCCAGGAAGGACCTAGCTGTCTCCGCAACAAGCTCCAAACTTTTAACGAGATTCTCCCTGGTCTTTGGAGAGTTGGATAGATCATTCCAGGCATCTGAAGGACATTGAGTGCTTATTGGATAAAACAGTATCACTCAACCAATGACAACTAAATGACCTCAATGAAACTATTGGTTAGTGTGAGCCAGCCAATAATGATGGCTAGGTTAGATGAAGCAGAGTTCGTAATCACTTTTACGATCTCTGAAAAGCAAGAAAAATCTAGACGTCTACATCGCATCGACTAAGCGCTTCCAAACCTTAAAGGCGTTACCAAGCCCTAATAAACTTGAAGGTTACGCAGACGACCGATAACTGGCGACACTAGCATTGACATTACCAGTGCTGCTTAGATTTCATTAGGTCTAATAATAACACCTCAGTAAAGTGCATTGAGGCTATCCAATTCAACTGGTAAAAGGCCACGAGGGATGAAATAATGCGCCCCAGTGTGAAACGTACCATCAAGGATAGGCTGAATCGTCTTCTTAACATCCTCTTTCATTCGTAGCAAAGTTTCAGTGAACTGAAATTGTTAACATTAAATGTTATTGCAATGTTCATGAAATGGAAGATGTTAGTGCGAGCAATAAGACTACTCACGGAACAAAGTTCAGAGGCTACACTACCAAACTAGGTTATTGAGGAGGTGAGGGGGTGACAGTGTTATGATCCAAAAAGGGGCTGTTTTTTTCCCCACGGACACTCGTCAACCGTTTGTCAAACGCGACCTCTAGCCATTAAGAGGGTGCATAACCTAAATGGCACCAACCCACTTTGGAGGTAGGGAGCTGTCAGCCATTTCGAACTACGCGCAACAGCAAAGTCACACATTAATGCACTCAATGGCGGTTACGTGAGGACGCCCATTTTGAAAGTGGCATCCGTTCAGTAAACAATGCACCGTGTTCAAGCATAAACTATTTACCTGCCATGACACACAACATCCATCTTCGACGGTCTTCCAACCGCCTCATCCAAGTACCCTTAAATTATTCACTAAAACAGCATTAAAGAGTAGACCATCTGCCAAAAAGGACGATTTGTTTCACAACACCCTTACGCATACATTGGACCAACTCACATTATCCAGGTTCTTAACATTTTGCTGATTCGATTCTAAGGTGGTTAGAAGGTTAGCCACCTGACTTGATTGGAACTAAAATATAAATGCACAATAAAACACAATGCAACGATAATGAATACGACTGCTTGAGTAGATGGAAATGATTTTCACCTGTTCGAGTGTGTAGGTGAGCTTAAGATCGTTGTCAGTAGTGAAAAGAAGCCCCCGACAGGTGCTCAGTTGATCCACCGTGCATTCAGAATTGAGAACATCGGAAATCGTCGACCGAATAAAAGGTAGCTCCACTGAGGTTTTCTCAAGGGTTTCTAAAAAGTCCTTCATGGCAGTCGAATCCGCAGAACCGGCAGAAAATTTGTAGACGACTGTGAAGATTAAGGAGGCCAATAATTTATCTAGTTACACGCACTAACCAATGGTTTAAACAGGTGCAAGGTTTAGAAAATTACTGTAAGGACAATTACAGTTACAATTGGATAAGAAAAAAGGAAATATTGTGTACGTACACTTATCTGGAATGAAATAAAATAGGGACCAACCTTGCTGAAGAGCTTCCTTTGCGCGTACTGCTGCTGCTGCGCTAGAATTATTTATGAAATCCCTCTGGAAGTCACTTAAACCGGCTAAAAGGGAATAGCTATAAGATAACCAAGTAATAAGTGCCTAAATTTGTAGACAAAATAACAACTCATGACTAAGCATAAAAAGAGGCAATCCACCACGAAGAGCAATTGAAGAATCGACGTACCATCAAAAACAGCATCGAAACGCTCCTTTTGAGCGACTAAATCTACTGATGACGAGTTTTTGGCCGCCTGCGTATGGAAAGCTGTTATTTGAGAACTTATGTAAGAATTCGTACGAGGACGTAAGAGCTTACATTAACGACATCAGAAATGCCAATTTGGAATTCATTAGTACTTTGTATTAGTTTTGGAGCCATTCCAATAGATAACTCTCGGCTGGTAACAGTCTCGTAATGCAATTGATAGTTAATGAAAGCAAGCACAATTGAAGCCCTAAAAAATTAAACAGGTGCGTTACCCAGGTTACACACTAACAACTTAATCATTGCAATGATGACCCAAAAATATTATTTATTCTACCTGTTGTTAAAAATGTAAGATAAGTTAATTAACATGAAGAAGAAAAGGAAACACTTGCAGTTGGATGGTTATCAGAAGCGCCAAAAAGACGGTGTAGCCCACTCG